ACACACACACACACACACACACACACACACACACACACACACACACACATCAAGACAAAATAAACTGATTGAGAATCTAATTTAGGACTGACAAGCTGACCAAAGGGTTCCTACCACCAAGACTAATGATGTAAATTTAATTCCAGGGATCCCCATGGTGGAAGGACAGAACTGACAGAACTGATTCTTGTGAGTTCTGTGGATGCTTTGAGATAGATACTCATAAATAAACACATAGATTTTTTTTGTTTTGTTCTGGTTTTTTTAGGTGATATTTAAGTAACTTCCAGAGAAACATAATCAACGGTTCTGAAAAGGCTCCCAACTTTCTATAGAAAAGGTAAGGGAAAGCTCACATTTACAAGTGCAAATATAACTAAGAAACTATTCAGAACAGAAATGAATCTGCTGAGGTCACAATTACCAAGAAAAACATGTACTTAGTTCAAGGACAGGGTGCCAATGTCAGCTCTGAAACACCTGACTTTCAGTGTTTCAATATTCGGGGACACAGTCTCATTCTCTGTGTATCATAGTCATGTTGCTAGGGGCTTTCTGAATAGATTCTGAGCCTTTCAGAGGTACATGACTTTGTGGAGAGAAGAATCAGGATGAGAAATGCTAGGCAGCCCTTTCAACACTCCTACCGAAAGAACAGAACACAGGAAATGAGAAGGAAGAACTTACTGGAAAAACAAGATTAATCAGCAACTTGATAGCAAAACTGAAACATTCCCTGTAGAGACATGGAAACACTTATGCTAGGGCAGGAAGTTAAGGTGAGCAACTGTGTAAAAATGTGGGTTGTGTGTATGCGTGAGTGTGTGTGTGTGTGTGTGTGTGTGTACATGTGTGTTGAAGATTGGTCTGGTGCTGCTATGTTTCAAATGCTAAATTCTGTACCCCAAGACCCAGTTGCTCCAACATGAGTGAATTCTCACCTAACCAGCTTTTGTTGTGCAAGCCTCACTCCCCAAGTTAATAGGTCACTAAAAGGCTAAAGTCTGTGATTGGTTATTATTTGGAGGTAGGTGGGTTTCCAGTTACCTTGCTGGGAGTTGCAGGTAGAGAGGAGAGAGAAGGAAGAGAGTATCACGGAGTAGCATGTACCGTAAACATATGATCACGAGAACTGGCCTCATGGAGCAGAGCAGCCCAAATGAAACATGGCAAGTAATGTCATTTTGATAGGGAAACAGACAAAATAGCACAGAGGATTGATATCTGCCCAGCACTCTAAAGCTTATTATAAATCTAAGGATCCCTGTGTTTTTATTTGGGAACTAAATTATCAAAAGTGGGGTAGAAATCTCTAATAGATATTTAAAGGCAACAAGGGGGTATAGTAAACTCCCCAAACAATAATAGTCACAATACATGTGTGTATGCATGTGCATGTGCCTGTGTGTGTGTATGACTTAGAAGAGATCTTGACATGAAGGACTATTCTATTTTATTCTGTTAGAAGGCAGTTGCTCCAAAGTTACGTTTTGGTCAGTTGGTGTCAGGCATCAGCACCCACATGGCATACGATTACACAACACATCAGCAGAAATAATAAAGGCAAATCTAAAGGGAGAGATTTGCTACATTCCCTATTCACATACAGTATTGATGAAAGAGGGAGAGAGAGAGAGACAGAGAGAGCATCCTTCATAGTTGCTGACAGTTTGTAGGGCTGGTAGGCATAAGCAAGAATTACAAGAAAACAAACATAAAGATTAGACAGCCCTCTGAGCTTTGGTTTGAGCTCTAGAAGTATGAGCAGTAATCTCTGTGTTCTCCATGTGTGATCCCGGAAGAACAGTGCTCCTTTCCAGAGTTGACATTCCCTTTCTTGGATGGACCTGCCAAAGACCTGGGGCTTCCTGCCTCCACTCTGCCTTGTGAAAGTGATGTTACTCAACCCTCTCGTTTTCTTAGCCTCTTAAGGCTTTGAGTGGAAGACAGGCTACTTTGTGCAGGAACAAATGAAAAATATGCAGAACATTCCAATCCAACTGGATTCCAACTGGCAACATTGTAATGGTACTTTATGCCATAGGGAAATTCTACATTTCAAAACTCTGTTTAGCTCAAATGAGGCCGTCCTTGAGAAACCAAACCCCAAGGTTTACCCAGTAAGCACTCTGACACCTTGTGTAAACACCTGTTAGGGTTGTCAATATGAAACCCTGAGATACAAGATTTTCATTGAGAACCATTTCTTTCTTTTAGAATATAAAACAACTTCCACACAGATTAAGATGAAATTGTATGAAAAACTAAAAGTTGTAGTCATGTGCTTTAAAAAGGAATTATTTCATGGAAATCCAAGAAGATTTTACAAAAGCCATTTGCTCCTGGGGTAACTTCCCACCTCCTCCACTTCCCATGGTGAAGTCTGTGGCTAACCCATCGGCTTTTCCATATTTATCCCTCTGCACTACTCAAAAAGCCTTTAGATATTCAAGGAAAACTTTAATCTTCTTTAGGAAATTTCACTTTTCTTTTTGTCTATTTAACTTTCACAATAGTTTGTAAATGGATAATTCTGTCTAAATATTAATCAGCTTAACCAAACGGAGTTAAGCACATATGGTCCACTTTATGAATTACTGGAAAGCTGGGAATTTGTCTTGCATGAGAATTAATATCATCCATTCCAAGACTGCTTTTTACTTTCAACTCAGTTACAAGTCTGAGTTTTATACAACGTTTTACATCCAATGACATTTCATGAATTACTATTGCAGAATACTGTATCAACTGAACTCCCAGGGCTCCCTGGGAGATTCTCATCATATTCCTTACCCTGTATGAATACTATGTGATAAGCCAATTGCAGGAGCTGCACACAAGGAGAAAAATATAGACTTACAGGTCTTACATGTGTATGTAAGATCATATGTGCCAAGGACCAGCCTTGGCTTGGAAACGGGGTTCCTGAGAGACAGGGTTTGTGGGAGCAGTGAAAGAAACAACACAAAGTCAAATGATGGAGTAAAAGCTGACAGCCTTGCCGTCTGCTGGAGATGGTTCCCTAGTCAACTCTCTGCAGATAGCTCTTGGTTCTGTAGTCTGATAGAGATAGCTTTCTGCTCCAGGCAGCTCTTTTGCTTGAGATAGCTGTCTCTGAGGCAGCTCTCTCTTGGTAGAAAAAAATTCTAAAAGCTCTCTGGATAGCTCATGGGTTTTCTGACCAGAGTCAGAAAAGCTACTATAAACAATTCTTGGATTATCTATATAAAAAAAAATCTAAAATAGCAATGATTATTCTCTAAGCAGTTCTCTCTGGGTAGCTTCTGAAAAAAAAAAAACCTAAAAAAATTTAAAGACCAGTGTTCTTCTCTGTAGAGATCTCCAGACAGCTCATCCGATAACTCAACTCTTGCAGACCAAAGCCCAGTCTTTTATTTACATATCAATTCAGTCATTTACTCTAGGTTCCCTTTTGATTAAACCATGGATCAGCATTCCATGACTTAGCCCCTTGACCCTTATGAAAAGACATCAGGTACATTTCTTTTTTTAACATGGCAAATGAATTCAGAGATTTGCCTGTCTTTGTAAGCATAGACAATAAGCTAGCTGGGTAGGATTCCCACCACCCCTGAGCATAAACTAGCCCTGTCCCAGTCTGACCTTGAACTCAGGAGTCTGCTTGCCTTTGTAAGCACAAGTAATAAATTTAGCTGGGTGGGATCTTGCCCTGTGATCACTACTCTCTAAATCTCTTTCTCTCCCTCAGTAGTATCTTTCTGAAAGGATGGTTCACAGTGCATATGCCTTTGTTCTTTTAGGTCCACAATTCTCCTTATACAATTAATATTGTATCCTTATATTTTGCATAGTTGAGAAATTATATATTCTTAAACTCATATTTTAAGAGTTCTTTCTCAACGTCTTAAGGGCTGTTTTGGCAGAGAGGATATTTCCCAATAACCTTGGCAGGGAGAATATGTCCCGAAGGAGGAACATGAAGTTTATACAAACAAGCCTAATGCCTAGCTAGCTCTACTCTAGGGGAGGGAAATCCTGTCATTTCAGTCCTTTGTACATGACCATGTAGGACCCCACAGCAATGGCCAGGAAGGTGGTTTAGATGAAAGTGTGCCCTGTCCCATCAGATTCAAGTACAGCATCTTTTTATTGTAAAGGAAGTGTTACAAAGATATCTCCCACCCAAAGGATAGAGCCAGGTTTCTGAGTTCTTGAAAGAATAGAATCAGAAGTTCATGAAAGAATAGAATCAGATTCTAATACATAAATGTTGGAAGTGGACAGACAATAACTCTGAGATCTGCTGAGGTCCAGAGTCAACAGTTTCATGTGAACGGTCCCAAGGACTGTTCGAGAATCTGGGGTCTTGTTTTCAACTGCTTCACATCTAGACATTTCACTACCTAATAAAACCCTTTGAACATTTTACTTCCAAACAAGCTTGGTGATCGTTGGCTAATTCTCATTGGAGCTCCTGTTTCTCAGGACAGGAAGCACACTTGAGCAAGGCGCTGTCTTCAGCAACTGTATCTACATTTGGATTTTTAATCCTACAATAAAGATGTGAGGTAGACACCATTATCAACATTTTGCAGAAGAGAATTCCGGAGCTCTAGTTTGCTTTGAGGGCAGGTGGTAAAGCGAGTGCCAGCTTGGCTCTTCCTCCTCGGTACCCAGCCTCCTCATGCTGGAGATGTTGCCAGAGCTCTTTCATCGATGCTCTGTGTCTTCTCCAATATCCAGTCTATGTACTCAGCAACTTTGGTGTAGACTCCTGGTTGCTCCTTGCGGGCACAGCCTTCACCCCAACTGGTGATACCCACCAACTGCCACCTTCCACTGTGTTTACAGACTAAGGGGCCACCGGAATCTCCCTGGATCACAATGGGTAGAAAAATACAGCAGTAGAGAGATATAACAGTGATGATTCAAATAAGGAGCCCCTAGCTCAAAGATAGATGTCTTTAACATTTTGCAGTCATACTTTATATACCATAATGCAGCTTCTCCATTTAGCCATGAAAAAATAAGTGGATGGTTACAAGGCCAATTTATTCCCTCTCTCATTCTCAGATAAACCCAACAATTCTAGCATCTTTACCCAAAGTTCAAATAAATCTACTTTCCTTATATTTTAGCATGACCATGCCATGTAAAATTGTCCTTAAATATGGCAAGTCCCAGTTCTGACTGTGATATACCTGTCACAGTCAATACACATTCTAACTATTATAAGTAACATATTATATGCATTATGTGTGTTTACATTGTTAAAGGCTATTTATAGAGTCTTCAAATCATTTAACTCTGGAACTTCAAAACTGAAACTAATGAAATGTAACTTTGGAAATTTGCTTTGAAATGTACTGTCTCCGGTGAACTATTATGTATTTTTTCCCATAGTCTGAGACATTACCTTACAAGCATCTGTTCCTCCTTCTTTGTAGCCAGCACAGAGCATCTGCTTGTTTATGACATAATCTCTGTATTTTTTCTGGCATTCTTCATTTGGTACCAAAGGAATAGTTGCCTTTTGTAGAATATCTGGGGTTTCACCTATGAAGCAATCAGAACACCTTCAAAGAGAGGAAATAAAATAAATAGGGAAGTAAGAGGGAAAGAGAGGGAGAAAAGAAGCAAGAGGTGGAGGGAGAGGAGAGACTTGGAGAGGGAGATAAAGATGCAGTGGTCTGTGTTGACCTTCTTCTAGTGAAGAATTTCAGCTGTCCCTATCACTCAAGCTACCACAGACTAGGTGTCTATAATCTCAACCATCATCCTGTATCAACCGGTGCCCCTCTCAGAAAAAAAAAAAAGTTGTTTCATACATTTGTACCTTTACTACAATGGATGGTCTTGCTTTTCATTGTTTTGCAAATTCAAATTATAATAAAAATATATAATGTATAAAAATTAATCCCAAATGTCTGACAGCAGAGAAGTATTTTGTAACACAAGTGATACATTTATAGATAACTTAATTTCTACCCATGTCTATATTTCTTGTGTGTATGTATGTGTGTATGTATGTATGTATGTATATATGTGTGTGCATGTGTATATGTGTATATCCATATATATCCACATATATGTAGCCAAGTCAACATAGTGGAAAGTGAGAATTAATTGAATACAGTACTGACTGGTTCAGAAAATATAAAGAAGATACAACCAATCATCTTTTTTTTAAAAAAAAATCACTCAGACATGTCTAATGATATTTATCTGCACTCATCTAGAAAAAAAAGCATTATTATTTCTAGGGAAATAGCTTAAGTCTCAATACACAGGCCCTTGACTTCAGATCCACACAAGTAATTGATTCATTCATAAACTCAGTGGAAAGGAAAGTGTACACCTCACCTCTATATTCTATTTCAAGTAAACACTCCCTTCAGTTTTAAATGCAGGTAACAAATGCAGAAATGTGATATTTTTAGCAGCACTGTTGTATAAGGGTCACAGATACTTTGAATTGTAGTTATGTCAGAAAGGAAAATATTGTTTATACCCATAACTATTTCAACATTACGATAGATTTTAAAACAACTTGCTACAGAGTACATTAATAAAGATATATGCTTATCACTATGTGAAATTCTGCTAACAAATGTTGGCAATTGTACTGCAATCTGCTTTTCTTTCTTTATGAGTCTATGTATTTTTAGATGCGGATTTAACAGCATAATTAGAGGAAAAGTTAGATTTATCATATTACAAGAAGGCATTTAAATAAATATTAAGAACTGTCTTTAAAGAGAGATGCTGGCACCTTGGCTATTGATACCAAGGAAGAACACAGTAAACAGGGACACTGAGTACCGAGGACCAGATGGGCTTCAATGGACTTGATACCACCATAAGGTCACAGTCCTTAATGCAGAGTCATGAAAATAATCTCTATTATGAGTAATATGCTTCAAGGATTAGCTCATCAGTTTTTAATGCAAAAAAAAATCACATTCTTGGGAATCAGAGGACCAGTATTTTGGAATGAACAGAAAAGTCATAAGGCTTGTTGAGTGGATCTACAGATGGGTCATGAGTAAGGGCTGTTGAGTGGATCTACTCCCTGTACTTTAGCACATAAGACAGGATCATTCCACACGCCAGAGTGTACCTTGTTCCTTCGTGTAGCCCCATCCAGTCACCCAACAGCTGGTATAAATTGTATTTGTGTCAGCTTTGGAAGGCAGGCATATTGGTTTTTGGAATTCTGAAAGAAAATTTCATGAATAGATTTGGATTAATGAAAACCATAGATAGGGACTTGAAAAATTAGTATCTGTCTTTTGCCTTACTCTTTTTCTACAAAGCAACAGAGTCCGAATGAGCCATCTGGGACTACTTGGGAGGAATATGGAGAACAGTAGGAGTGGGAAGGACATGAGAAGGTATAATCAAAACATACTATGTACATGTATGAGATATAATAAAACCCACTGCTGAAACAAAAGAGTAAAAATAATGGCTCTCCAGCTTTCTGATCAATTTCTAAAGTCCACGATTCAAAGAAATACTCACATTTTGTATGGCATTTTGGAATGAAATTTCTACAAGGAAGAGGGACTCTTCAACCAAAATTTATTGGTAAACATATGTCTGCTTTCTTACACTTCGTTTAATATACACTGTAGCAGAATTCAGAAGCAGAGCAAAACTAACCACGCTGTTCCGGTGCTTTATTTGAATACCTTGCTTAGTTCTTGCAAGAAAGCAACAAGGAGATCCGCAACATATAGCAGATATTAGGTGTGGAAGGAGGAAAGGCAAGCTGCCTAAGGTCACGTGACTGTTCACAGACACTTGCAGCTAATGATGTTGGCAGGCATTCCGTTTCTGTGGTGTGAGGTGCCTCCAATGGCAGTTCCATGCTCCGTGTTCCCCCATTGTTCTTAGGCACTAACATCTACACCCATTCTCTTTCATATGGTTATATATGCCTACAACCAAGCAATAGTCATTCTGCCAATCTTGTCAAAAGATACTCAATGTCGCCAGATGTCAAAATCTTTCCTGTGCTGACTGTTTCAATACCATACACTCAGTTGCATGCTACTATGAGAAAGTAATGAAGCTTTTTGCCTCTTAAGTATCAGTGAATGCACGGTAGGTCATGGATCTTTACTTCCCAGCCTCATCTCTCCCTCAGCCTCACCAACCAGGGCACAAAGACAATCGCTCAGATCTGCCTTCTCACTCAAACCGAAGTGGAAATGGACACCAATACAATTGAGTTGTGCAGTTTCCCCTAAAACAGGCTGCATACCAGTGTAATTCAGGGGTGTCTGAAGCTTTATTAAGGCAATATCGTAATTGCCTTCTGAGATTTTGTATTTCTGATGAATAATAAGCTCCTTTATTCTTGAGAAAGGCGTTTCTGTCGTAATCTCTGACAGATTCAGAATCCCACTATATATACGCCACACATCTGGGTAGGGAATCCTAGGAGAGAGACATGAGAATAAAGTAATGTTGGCATCCTTTCTTGCTCCTTTTTCTTAGCACATTTTCTTGAATGGGAGGAGGGAGAAGAAAGAAAACAGTCTAGTTTGACCTAGTCCCTTTTTTGGGCAAGGCAACCTATCATTGCTTATAGCAGTAGTGTCAGACTTTGAGGATTTAGTTTGTAATAAAATTTTTTTCCATTTAAGACTCCTTTTTGACTGATAAGATTTTTTTAATGTTTGTGTGTGTGAAACTATATGAAGCCGGTACATATATTAAACATTTACTGATAAAATGTTATAAAGAAATTTACTTCAAGACAATTCCTTGGTGCATGGATAATTTTACCACTTATTAGCAAATTCATATATTAATAGAATAATGTGCTTGTTTATTTCTACGTAAATAATTAAAACATGTCTGAATATTTGATACTAAAAGATGAAGAACACCCTCAATGTTTTTAAGAGTTCCTTAATATTTTACTTTTGTAACTGATAATGCTGAGAAACACCACTTCACATAAATAAGGAGGACCAAATGGTGATAGTCTTAGGTTTAGGACCATTGAGGAAGTTTTGGAAACTCTATCTAATCGCCAAGCCTAAGTTCATTCAATGAGTTCTTATGAAACTCAAGTAACCAGCTTGAACAACATTGAAAATCAAAGTTTAACACTGTACAATCCAAAGACACAAAGGCAAATGACAAGAGACATTTTAGCATTTTTGTCCTTTCAAATTAAATGGTTATGTTCCCGTAAGAGCTGAAAGCCTCTGGCACGCATACTATACACACCGTGATTCACAAGATTAAATAATCCTCAGTCTGATTGTGTTTAGGGTACCATCTGCTGGTACTAGCCAGCATGGCGACATGCACAGTGCACAGTAAGCACACTGTGTGTTAGGAACAAAGGCTGCAGTGGAGTCCTGAGATACAGCTCAGAGGAGAGGACTCTCAGAATGCCTCTGGTTTGTCATATGTTTTATTTTGAATTAATTTTGGTCAGTATTCCTTCAGGGACCCTTTACTGTTGCTAAAATTTTGGAGACCTTCATATTCAGTTGTATGATATCCATATAGGATTACACTTCATAGTATAAACGTGGCTGAAAATACTCAAAATGTACTTAAAAGTTACTTTATATTTGTTACAAGTAAAAATATCACAGTGTTTCTGTGCCTTTGGAAGAAGCTTCGGGAGAATCAAGTTCAGTTTACCAAACCTAAAAGCAACTGGACTCTTGTCACAGTTGTGTCTTTGGAATTTACAGTGTACACTTTGATTTTTTATTAAATTGGAGCTGTCAAGTAGCTATATTGATTAAAATAAGCCCCAATAGGAATTAAAAGTATTTCGTTGCTTAAAATCTACCTACCTATCCTTTGAATTTTAAATTAACCATGTAAAAGATAAACAGGATAAATTTAAAATCATAATATTTTCTAGGCAAAGACTTGGGCACTTTTTTTTAAAGATTTCTTTATTTTTTTATTTATATGAGTACGCTGCAGATGTCATCAGACACATACTAGAAGAATAGTACATCAAATCCCATTACAGATGGTTGCGAGCCACCATGTGGGTACTGGGAATTGAACTCAGGACCTCTGGAAGAGCAGTCAGTGCTCTTAACCACTGAGCCATCTCTCCAGCCTGACTTGGAAACTTCTATTATCCTCAAAACAAATATCGTAGGGACAAGGAGATGGCTGAGTGGAGAAAGGGCTTGCTTCTCAAACATGAGGATTCAAGTTCAGATCCCCAACACAGACGAACTAGGGCTAAGAATGTGCCAGGAGACAGAGACAGGCAGATCCCTGGGATTTGCTGTGCAGCCAGTCTAGTCAAAAGGGTTAACACTGGGTTCAGTGAAAACCCTGTCTCAACAAGTAAGATGAACAAGCAGTACAAAAATAAATACCTGAGGTAAACCTCTTCATGTGCATACACAGGTAGATGTGAATGCTCGCGCGAGCACACACACACACACACACACACACACACACAGAATTTGTATTATTTGTATTTTTATTATTATACAATATCTTATATTATTATACAATATCTTATATCTTATTAGATGGACCTAAAACTTACCCATCAAAGCAATGGGCAGCCGTCAGTATCCATTGGTGTCCGATGATGGACCCTCCACACAAATGATCAAGAGATGCCAGCTTCACTTGCAGGCTGACCTGCCACGGCCACTCCCCTAAAGAAGAGTTCGATCCTCCCACAATACGTGCATTTATTTTTGCTGTACAGTCTGGAAAGTGTTGAGGTGTGTAGCAGAATTAGACACAGATCAGCATTCCCTTCCCTTTATCCAAGGAAACTTTTTTAGTTAGGGTTTTACTGCTGTGAACAGACATCGTGACCAAAGCAAGTCTTATAAGGACAACAGTTAACTGGGGCTGGTTTACAGGTTCAGAAGTTCAGTCCATTATCATCAAGGTGGGGACATGGCAGCATCCAGGCATACATGGCGCAGGAGGAGCTGAGAGTTCTACATCTTCATCTGAAGACTGCTAGCAAAATATTGCCTTCCAGGCAGTTAGGATGAGGGTCTTAAAGCCTACACCCATAGTGACATAACTATTCCAACAAGGCCACACCTTCTAATAATGCCACTCCCTGGGCCAAGCATATACAAACCATAACAGAAACCATATAAACAGTCCCATAAGACCAAGATCACAACAGACAAGCCAGCCATGCAGTTCCATAACAAGCAAGCTTCACTCACCAGAGCTGTCCACAACACTACACAATCTCTGAGAATAACCAGAGCTCCCCTGTGTCCCATAGGTGATCCTAGTTGGAGAGCCATCCGTGGATAACCTTAAGGAACATTTACACCTAGAAAAATATGAATAATATAAAATTAAACCCACAGAGAGAGAAAATTAGAAAATAATTACTTTGCTGATTATCCAAGAAAGGTTCCCTTACCTCTCCTCCTTGCAGTCTCGGGGAAGTAATGAGTAGGTGAAAAATTGACAGCGGATTGTGTGTGTACAAGTCTCTTGGCACGCATCTGCCCCTTGCACGAAGGCCACGTTCAGTTCTTCCCCTTCAAACTCAACTCCGGAGTAAATTTTGGAATGGCAGGGTTCTGCACCATATACAAACATCAAAGGATATATAACAAGTCAGGAAATAAGTCACACTAGAAAAGTTTCCAGGGTCTTGAGAACCATTTTATTAACTCTTAGAGGATCCCAAGATGTGTTGCACCTTGTGGCTATTAGTGTTTGTCAACTTGACACAAAATAGAGTGGCCTGAAAAGAGAGAACATCAGTTGAAGAATTGTCTCCCTCAGGCTAACTTATGGGCCTACCTGTGGGATGTTCTTTGGATTAATGATGGATGGCAGAGGGCCCAGCCAACTGGGGCAGTGTCAATGTCAACTCTGGGCAGGTGGTCGAAGGATATGGATATATATATAAAATCAATCCTAGGAGCAAGTCAAAAAAGCAGCATTTCTCTGTGGTTTCTGCCCAGTTCCTGCCTCTGCATCTGCTTGAGTTCCTGGTCTGACTTCCCTCAGGAGTCGGCTATGACTGGGACATGTCAACAAAACGAACCCCTTTCTTCCCCAACTTGCTTTCTGTCATGGTATTTGTCACAGCAACCAAGAACCCAACCAGGACACACATCATGTACCACCAAGGTTGAGTCGCATTACCAGGGCGAGCTTTTCTGCAGGTGAAGAGACTGTATCCAGATACAGCATTTTCTTGAGGAACAGAGGGACTTGGTCTTCCACTCTTAGATGTCTTAAGAAAACAAACATTTCTATTAAAAATAAATGAGAAAGAAGACAGCATTAAAAGCACTAGACAGATATTCTTTCTCCTTTCTTTCTTTCTTTCCTTCTTTCTTTCTTTCTTTCTTTCTTTCTTTCTTTCTTTCTTTCTTTCTTTCTTTCTTTCTTTCTTTCTTATTTCCTTCTCTCTTTCTAAAGCAACTCCATAAACGATATTCTTCTGAAAAATTCTTTCCATTCAGTTAGACTGCAAGACTCCAAAAATACCACAGGGCTTAAATGTAAATGGAGTCACTTATCCCTCTGGCAAAAAAATGAGTAGGTACAGACATCCTGAAAAGATGACTGAGGATTAAAGTCCACCTTCTAATTAGAAAAAGAAAAAAGAGAAGGCATCAAAGGACTGTTGGTTTGGGTTTATGTTGCCCGTAGTATTATATCCGCACTCATCCTTCTGCTGGTTCCACAGTATACATAAAGGAAAAGTCCTGTAAAGATGAAGGGGTCAGACTAGACCCTAGATCTGGGTAAGCAGGGCTCTGATTTCTCACAAGATTAAAGGCTGGATTGCATAAACCATTACCCAACCCAATCCCAAACCCTAATGCCAGTGAGAACACTGCCTGTTTCCTTTGCCCCTGCCACTGTGATTTGACTCAATAGTATGCTTGTTTTGTGGAAGGGAAGGAATGTGGACGAATCTGCTAATCTGTGAAGTAACCTGCACCTGGCTGAAAGGCAGCCGGTTAAACCACAGGCTCCAGCAACCAGCAAGACACTTGTAAACCTCTGCTAGAAAAGGAAAAGGCCAGAAGGGGAGCATGGGCCTCTCTCACTCACCTCCGTGATTCTGACTTCCATTCATTCGTGTAGAATGTGAAGAAAAGGCAGTTGGGATGGAAGGTGCAGATGGTGCGACACACAATGGCATCGGGGGTGACAACCTGGCTTACATCCAGGTCTGCAAAGGCAAAGTGCTGGAAAATATCCATGGGGCAACCTGTGAACTCAGCGGTGAACATTCCTCAGTGACACAATGCCGAGTTTCCTTGTGTCTCACCATAGTAACTAAAGTGATTATGACAATTGATATTTGCAGCAATCAACATCCTGAGTTTAAAATTGCCGGTTGAGAGACTGAGGCAGCATGCATTGGGCCGGCACGGGTCTGCAAGAGATCTCCTGGGTCTTGCTTCCACTTCACTTTTTTTAAAGGAATTCCTGAATGTGTGGACATGTAGCTCTTTAAATCTTTTGCCTTCTCTTGGACTCTCGTTTGTTGGTTCATTTTGTTCAATTTCAATGTGTTAGTTTTTGTTTTCTTATTTTATTTTTGTTTTGTTTTATTATTTGCCCTGAGAAACCTGTTACTTTTTTAACGACAGAAAAAGAGTGGGGGGTGGGAGGGCGTACTGTGGGAGGAGGAACGGGAGTGGAAAACAGAATCAGGATATATTTGTGAGAGGAAAACAAATCCATTTTCAATAAAAGAGAGGGGAAAGCCTGTTAACTTATCTCAGAATTTGTAGTTTGTTCTTTGTGGAAAAAAAAGTAAAACTTGTTCTCAGTGACGACAGCTACTAAGTGCTGTAAAATAAGTAGCACCATCATTTTTAATAGGACACATTTAAGTTAGGTGACTTGTGTTTCCCTTATATTATGACTAAGCCTTGGGAACATGCTGTTTCACGTTTTGTTTCTGAGTATCATGAGAAGTATTTTAATGAAAAGAGATTAACATAAATTCCAAAGGGCTAACAAGCATGCCCTTTGAGAGGATAACAGAAAAGCTTCATTTTCATTCCCCTTACATAATTTTATTTCTCATCTATTTTTATTTATGCTGTTTACATGAGTCGCTCAATATGTTAGCATGTAAGAATCAATTTGGTTCCATACTAATAGTATGAATGCTTAAGAATAATGATAGGCCAGCCAAACTTAACACAGTTGGATCAAGAGAGTTCACGTCCCACAATACATCCATTTGAATAGTCTAGGAAGCTGGTTCTACTACTTGAATTAAAATAAAATTCATAAAGACCCTTGCTATTGGAAGAGAATGTGCAGTATCCATGCCAACTTACAATGGTGTCCTTCAAGACAAGAAATTTGTAGTTGAAAAGGAGTTCACCAGCATGTGACAAAGTCAACTTCTTTTCTGGACCGCTGAAGATATTAGGGACTTCAAAAAAAATTTTTTCTACAAAGTTCTACCTTTCTAAAACAGCTCTATGGTATTGTGTATAACCCATTTCCTAATGACAGCCTGCCAGAACAGAAGAGGGACTTTGCCAAAGGCTAAGGTAGTCTTCTTGACTCCTGTTCAAGTTGAATATATTGAGTCTCTTCCTTTACTCTAGATTTTTCTAGATTTTCCATGGCTTCTAGATATTCTGTCAGGATAGTTGTCCTAGTTGGTTATACTTCCTGCTCCACACAAAATCCAGAATCTGAGCCAGGCAAGATGAGCATCTGGTATTCCAAAGACTTTTTTCACTCTAAAGTTAGGTTGTTAATGGATTATATTGGCTGGTTTTATGTCAACTTGACATAAGCCAGAGTCATGAGGGAAGAGGGAGCATCAGTTGAGAAAATGCCTCCACAGGATCCAGCTGTAGGTAACCCTGTAGGGCATCATTTTCTTAAGTGGTGATTGATGGAAGGAGGCCCAGGCCACAGCGGGGGTGCCATACCTAGGCTGGTGGTCCTGGGTTCTATAAGAAAGTAGGCTGAGCAAGTCATGATGAGCAAGACTCCTCCATGGCCTCTGCATCAGCTCCTGCCTCCAGGTTCCTGCTCTGCTTGATTTCCTGCCCTCCTGATTTCCTTCAGTGTCATCTAGTAGTGTAAGCTAAATTAAAACCTTTTCTCCCCAAGTTGCTTTGGTCTTGGTGTTTCATTACAACAACAATAACCCTAAGTAGGTTACTATGTTAATGAAAAGTGTTACAGAATGTTAGTGAGGCTGGGAGAATAAAAGTGCCCAGAATCCATCTTGTTTGTTTGTTTTCAAGATAGGGTTTCTCCGTGTAGCCCTGGCTGTCCTGGAACTCACTCTATAGACCAGGCTAGCCTTGAACTCAGCATCTACCTTCTGAGTACTGAGATTAAAGATATATGTCTCCAATACTAGTAAAAATGAATCAATTTCACCATTTTGTTTTTGTATCCCTAGAAATTAACCAAAGTGACACACAATCATGGATAATCCTGGGATAGAAACAAATGGCTAACTTTCAGCAAGAGCTGTATGGGGTTGAACTCACCCTATATTTGTGCCCCCTCCTCAGCTCCATAGAGACTTGGAAAATGGCCCCATGGCTGTGCTTAAAACCAACATGTCAAAATGGTTGGAGCGCCTCCAAAGTCACAGTCCCTCATTCCCAGACAACAATCATCACTTGACTTGTCTGGAAGCTCCCTGGAAAAATCCACTCACAGTGCTTAAGCTTATTGGACCTGACCCCTGTTTTGTCCTTTCCTTGAGAGCATGTGTCTGCAGAAAGATGGAGAAGGAAGAAAGGACAGAGAAAGACAAGAGAGAGGGGGGAAGGGGTAGGGGAGAGGAGGTACAAAGGAAAAGAAAGAGAAGGGGACAAAGAGAAGGGAGGAAATGAGGGAGAAGCAATGGATCCTGGTGATTATGGGACACAACATCTGCCTCCTAAGGTGGAAGTAACAGGGCAGATGCCAAACCAATAAGAAAAGTGTCCTCTCAATTAGAATTGTAAATAGTACCGATCTACTAATAGGGGACATATGATTATCTCCAAAGCTTTCAAAGTCCACGCCTAAACTCTGAAAACAAGCCTTTAAATGCACTTAGTTCATTTTGAATTGAGAAGTAAGAGGATAGATATTTTTAAGAAGGGAAGACATGAGAAATTTACGTGACTTTTACGTGGCAGGTCTTCTATGTGACCTTAGCATAGGGTTAGCACAGGAACTGCAGTCTCTCATCCGTGAAGCTAGAGGCATTGTTGACAAAATTAAGAATAAGGGTACGGTACTGACTAAGTCACCCATGACTTATGAATGTCACTTAGGCTCAGAGACAGCATTCCTATGGCTTTGGTTGTCATGCAAGGGATGTGAAGAGCCCTGGCTCTTAAAAAATCAAAGCTACTTTCAGAAATATCCAGGATTTTTGTCATTCAAAGAAAGACTCTTAATTAGACTGAAGAAATATGGGAACTCCAATTCAGAAAGCAGGCACTGGGAAGTCTGAGACTGGGCATGAGCAAGAGACTGGGCATGTACCCTCATTCGTTGAGGCTGTGGGCAGCACTTACGATAGGCTTGAGGCAGAACAAAACCTTGTCTTTAAAACATACTTGCATCAATGTGCTGTTCTGGCTGGAGTGTGCTTTGTCCCCAGCAAAACTCCTGGTGACAGCTTGTTTTCCAGGGTGGCAATGTTGGAAGTCCGGCCTAGTAGGAAGTCATGAGGTTGCATTCCATGTGAATTGGGTAATACCTATTCCCGCTCTCACTGGACTATGTCAGTTACCCTACAAGGGCAGCTTGGTCTAAACCAAGGCTTCTGTTTGTTCTCTGTACCTTCCACACACGCACATTGACCTGCGACTTTCTACCATGCTATAGTGTAGCATAAGGTCCTGTGACAGTGAGCATTATGTTTAGAGGATACATTTACTGTGCTTGGCCTGTAAAAACAAAATTTTCTTTTAGCTCATATAGGCCATGAAGACGTTGCTCCTACACTGAATGTACCCTGTAAGCTGGCCATTGATGGACCACTTCCTGGTGCAGTTGGGCTATTCTAAAAATAAAATTGCTGATTGCTACGAAACATGTCACCCCCTCAGCTATTCTTGCAAGGTAAAGGGGCAAAGATTAAACAGGCTAGCTGCTAAGTTCTGATTTTGTGTGAAATGCTTGCTTGCTTGGATGACTGAGGCATCTGCTGGATGTATGTTACAGAATCAAGCCTTGCCCACACCCAAATAAAATATGAGTGAATTTGGCTTCCCAAAAAGCCATGTTCTGGTTTTTGCCTTTGGAAAATATTGGAAAAAAATTGGAATATATATATTCCTTTGGAATATATATATATATATAGCAATAGGACCTTAGAAACTCTTTTCAGTTTGATCCTGGCCAGTCTTTTTAATAAAAAGTCTCTTATTTACTAAAACCAAAAACTTAAGTCAGACTGGTGGTGAATCTCCCAATGACCCCAGACACACAGCAGTCCCTGCCAGATGCAGCCACCCCATTTTTAGCTTCCCAGTCTCCAGAATCATGAACTAAATGAGCTCTTTTTTTTTCTTTACATATTTCCCAGTCTTCTGGCATCTGGTGATAGCTGCAGAAAGCTGTCTAAGATAAGTGCAGTATACAGAACAGAACATAGTTGAATAAAGAGCCCTATCTCCTGTAGCGAAGTTTTCAAAAACTAGAAAAGAAAAGGGGGTATTGAAACTAAACAGATAACAGATTTAAGCCATTTGAATGGCACAGCATGGTGGGATACACTGAGAAAAGAAAAGACAAATAGTAAAAAGAGATAGGTTTTTAACTTCTCAGTCTTTCATAGAGAGGTCAGATTCCAGAATTCAGAACCTAATATAGGGCCTGGTGTAGAGGGCTCAGTATTGGTACTGTTTACTATGAGTGAACTTGTTTCAGTAAATCTCACCCCAGCACCTTGATGTCCTGAATTTGAAGGCAGTTGTCTGGATAATTCAATGAGAGCTACCTCTGTGTTTGAAGTTTAGGGCTTTGTTGATTCATGACAATTTGCTTATTTCACTAGATGTAGACACCATCGAATGACCTTGTGACTTTCTTTTATGATGGAGCTTCCTCTCCTATTGATGTTGTTGTAGGCACGCTACAGTAAAACTGGAGGTTTAAGCAACATAAACTTATGGGGTAAGAAGTTTCCTAGGGGTAAGAAGACCAATATAAGTCTTACTGAGTGCCAGTCAAAGGTTGGCTTGCTTCTGTTCCTCTGGAAAGGCATGTAGGGAGACTTATTCTATGCCCTTTTCAATTTCTGCAGACCACTGGTACCCTTTGCTTTTAAACTCTTTTTCCGCCTTTACAGGTAACAACATAAAACTTTCAAGTCTTTCTACCTCTGACATTGACCCCTCTGTTTCTCTGTTTATCATATAAGAAACCTTGAGACTGGACAGGGGCATATTCTGGTAATTCAAAATAATTCTGATTGCAAAGTATTTCTATGT